AGTTATTTATGATAAGATAGGTAGGAAATTATATGATAGATAAGTAAAAAATAATTGTCGATCGTAGAATCAAAACAAGAATATTACTGTTCTAAGTGGAATTTCGTTAGGTGTCTAATTATTTATGCATAATGATATATATATTAAATACCGAAGTTTGTTTGTAAAATATGAGATTAATAATTAAAATATGATAAAATTTTGAAAATTTGTTTCGATATTTAAAATTATTTTACACTTTCTGACATAGTTCTGTCTAATATGAAATTAATTATTCAAGTGAAAATTTTGAAAATTATTCGCTTCTGATATGTTAAAATCGTTTTCTTTCGTGTTTTCTGATATGAGATCAATAATTGAAATTTAGATTGAAACATTATACAAATATGTTTGACATTTGTTGTTCTCGGCATTGCATTACATTAATACCAAGTTTTTGCATTACATTAATACGGATTTTTGTGCATTTATAAAACGTTGAAAGATGCAAACATGCATAGAATGCATGTTATATACAAAAATATACAAAATAAATAGAATAATATACAAAAAATGTACATAAACTATCTAAAATAGAATATTTATCATAGCAGACAAAATAATTTTTATTAATTCAAGTTCTACTTTTTGAATATGTGCTCCTCGAGTTTATATGATCCTAATGGGTACTATATTTCAATAGATATTAAAATATATATAGTTTTTAAACATTTATAGTTTTAATATTCAATATATTACTAATATTATATATGTTCAATATATTATAACTTTATAACGTCTTGTACATTTCATGCTTTTTATAAATAAATTATTGCAAAAACAAAAGAAAGAGGAAACTGAAAAGGACAACAGAATTAATAACAAGTCATGAGACAGATATGTTACGAACGTCACAGAAAATGCTAAAAAGTGATTTTTGTCGATTCAATTGTTTCCTGATACTTATTTTCCACGCCAAAAGCTATCCATGCTGAGTAACAATTGAACAACTAGATTGCAAATTTTTATACACTTATGCAGATTAGAAATTACAAAAATGTACGCAATGCATATAATACGCAAAACTATATGAAATATATCTAAAGTAAAGTGTATAATGTACGGTACATAAAATAAATTCGAATTCCCCTACTTATTTAGTAATGTTTCCAAGAATTTCGAAATATATAAAAATCCGTCGTCTATTAATAACAATTCAACAATCTTCGTCACGTGAATACCTGTACTTTCGAATTTCTGTCCACCAAACGCTGTACTAATGCAGCGTGGGTTAAAACAAACGAGCTCAAGGTAATTGTTGAATTTACACCGTATTCAGTCATTCGGTCGGAAGAAAAGAATGAAACGATAAAAATTTCATCATCCTGGGAAGAGAAAACAAGTTTGCGCGGTCGCTGATGTAATTGCTCGCGATGTAACTGTGCATCGATAAACATAATAGAATTGCATCTCGGATGCAATAACGTAATTAAGCAGTTGCGATCCCGCTGATTAATGATTTTTCTCGTCTCGTGGGGGCGGAGAGGAGAGAATCCTGCAGATCTGCGCTGATTCTTCGAGAAACTTCCTATTAAAAGAGCTACACACCAGTCGAAGTAGCTCGCAAATGAAATGTTACCGTGACTCATGCAATTGCACTGCAATTTAATTCGTGATTAGAAGATAACACGGCAGAACGTGGTTAACAACAGAAATAAATTGTTGTATCGTTGGATGTAAGAAGGGTTTCAGTGACAAAAATCAGTTTGGAGAAAGCTAAGATTAAAATTATTTTAGTAAGATGCATTGTCGTTTTCAAGAACATCGAGTTTGAAAATTTGTCAAATAAATCTATTAAAAGCAACCTTTAACGAAACATATTTAACCCATTGTCTTAGAAATGAAGCTGTAGATGAAAAATATTTATTTATATATTATTTATTATTTTTTTATATATACATTTTTCATTTATTTTTGCACATAGGATAATCTCCTGGTAATTGTTCTCTCTTGGAAAATTTTATTCCTTTTTTCCTCGGCTTATTTTTACGTATAGAATCACACTTTCAATTGTACCAGGATTTCGAGAATTATATGATGAATCGTGGTATTTGTAGATTCGTCGATATCTTTTATGAACATATTATTTGTATTATACGAAACATTTAAAAACTTTATTAACACTATCAAAAAATTCGATTATCATAATTATGTTGGTAAAATTTTACTACAAGTAAACATACATCACTGTGCATAAGTGTAAATTATTGCAATACAAAATATAAAATATCAAATGAATCTCTTTAATTTAATCTTAAGATATATAGTTAATAAATATTAACTATAGATTATAGTTAATAAATATAATAAATATATTAATAAAAAAAAATAGGTAATATCATAACAAATTAGGCTGAAGAGTGAGTCCAAGTATGTCTGTCCATTATCGAGATGTTAGATCGATTGAAATATACGTTTCTAGCTATATTGAAAATATTTGTACACAGATTTAATGAAATATTAATTATTTATTATAGATTCAATTAGAAATATGAATGATTCACGTATGTTAAACTTAGCAAAGGATTTAGTCTCAATTATAGCAAAATGCAAAAAATTAACGTCAATCGTAATTATGAGAATATAACAAAGATATTAATTTTTTAATCGAATTACAGTTGATGTTCAATTATTTACATGCGGTTGGCATATTTCACAGAAATTATAAAAGTATCAATAAATATTCAGTAGAAACATCTTTAACAATTGTTTTATGTTTAAAAGAGCGTTATATTAATTTTTTTTTGTTGAAACATTACAGTTATATATATGCTATTGTATGCAACTCTTAAGAAGTGACGACATGTTATAGTATTTAAATCTGACGTTCGCTTCTTTTCATTATATATTATGTCAACGTCCTGATCTTACTAATTTTATTTTTAGGAAATGCCTGACTTCAACTACATCGCATCTTTGCAAAGAAAGTGACGCAATTTGAAAAAGTTAATATTTTCAAGAAATTTTATTTATTTATTTAGTAAAATATTACATGTCTAGTATTAATGTTCGGGCGTTAAGTATTTAAATTGCTATAATTTCGTAGCATAACACTGAAGCTGAGCTCTTCAAAAATAAATCATGTCATTAGAAATGGGAAAGTGGAGACATTTCTCTTCTTGAAAATGCTAAATTATCATCGTGTGTAAAAGCATCGGAAAATTTTTTTCTTCTACGTATTTCAAATGTCTCGTAACAAATTGCTAATACTGCATGATATTAACGGACTTTTATGTAAGGTTTTTTTAGTTACTTCTATAAACGTAACGAAAGAAGCAGAGATTTAAATTTTGCCTGCAAAAAAGTTATAACGAATATACGTTTTACCTTGGCTTTTGTACATAACACGTATTTTTACCATTTTGAACTTCGCATAAATGCATAAAAATCCTCTGTCTATTTATAACGGATCGACGTGTGTCATTTTCTAATAGCATGCAACGATGATCTAATCCTAATAGCACGAACAATGGTCCATCGTTCTTTTCCGTGTCATATGTTTAAATAAAAGTTCGTCGCGGCGAGAATCGAACAATACGTTCGCTCGTTTATTCTCAAAGAAAGTTGCGGGAGAGAAAGTATACTCTCGTATACTCTCAGTGAGCAGAAATATAATTAATATTACGAAACCAATGCCGTAAAAAAAAACATTGATGCGTTCCGCAATGTCAAACGTGTCTCACGCACAATGAGTTTCATGTTTAACATTTATGAACACTAGCGAAATTTGTTGCGTTTTTTTTTTTTCTCTCTCTTTTAGAGACAGTAGTCGATTTAA